CGAAAGAAACCTGCAAGAGACAACGATGGTAAGGAGCATAGCACAGGAGAAGTGGGCGAGTCGCCTGCGACAAGGCTTTCATTGATGGTATAGTATAACACAACAGCAGCTGTTGGTGCTATACTTCCAACGTCTGATGCAACGTGTGGCTGTTCTGCTACGACAATAATGTTGAATAGTCTTTTTTTTTGAAATTATTATTTTTTTAACCCGTGTAGAATCGTTTTGTGTACAGGCAAACCTGTCCGGACACGTCCTCGTGTGCCGTGCAGATCAAAACGCATTTTAACAATTATAATTGTTATAACAATAACGATAGGCGGCGGTCACGCGCGTTTATACACGTTTTGGAGGTTGGCATACATGACAACTCCTATGGTACAAAACTATACACACACGCACACACACACACTCATAAACGTGCCGCTTCCTGTGCGACTCCTTCGACGATACCGGAAACGGCACATATGACGTCTTCCCCGTCTTTTTTATTAACACTCTGGAGGCGGTGAAACGGCTCAGGGCGAGAGGAGATCACACTGTTATGGTAGTGACGGTTCCCGCGTAGGAACGGCGCGATTTCACTAAACGAAAAATATTTACTTAGCCGCCACGAGTTCTTGTTGTTTTGACCTAATCGCGTTATTGCCACGCCGTACATTGTCGTCGTATTATTGAAAAGCTGTTTTAATAATTAAACCCAACCACCAGTAGCTCCAAGTCCTCCACCGTCGCTGCATCCTCCGCCGAGGCGATCGCGCGAGGGAGAACGAGTCCAGTCTGTCAAAAAAAAACGTAAACAAAACTTTACTCTTTACACAATGGACCGGCCGTGACAGTAAAACACACCAACAAAAGATTTATGGGGTTTTTTTGAAAATCGATTATACTCTGCGGGTAAACCGCACCACACGTCACATTCGGTAATAATACAGATTTCATGTTGTAATCTTTTTCCGTTTCATCTGGCCGTCGTCTTTTGTGGTCAACGTCTTGGCCGACAACAACGATAATAACAAAGTAAATCTATTAACGACATCGCGAATTATACGCTATTTATATTTCACGATTCGGTTGATTCGGGTGCGGGAAACGACTGGGACCTCTCAGATGACGGCCAAAGATAACCGACTCATCGGTGGCGGTTGCCGCAACGCAGTGTCCTTTTCTCCGAAATTCATTTGACCTCGGCCGGACAATCGCACAATCATCACAGTGACGCGGTTCTCTCTACACACTACACACGAGTACCGCGCAATGTTGTGATGTTTCAATTCATGTTTTAAAAAGTCCAAACGGTACTGGTTTTTTACTCGCAACACTTTTCCATAACGCCGCCACCTACAGCGGTGGCAGAATGTCATAACGGTTCATTTCCATTATTTTTTCACTTTTACCGCTGTTTCGACGACAAATTATACGCGTTATTCGACGACGACGATAATAATAATAATAATAATAATAATCGATGGTAGTAGTGGTTAGCCGGTCGCCTCCGTCAGAGGGTCAAACGGGTTATAATAATATTGTGCGTCGGTCCATCGGTACGGTGCAGCGTGTGTGAGGTCGTCTAGGCCGTCGGTATTATTGGGCCGAGGCGGAGGCGGCAGTGTAGAGGAGGCGCTGTGGCCAGGACTAAATGGAAAGCGACCAAGACGAGACAAACGCCGGGACGACGACCACGGTGGGAACATGGACGGCGGTTGGTGGCGTTTTGACAGGTTACAACCAGCTTTGGTGGTTAATGATGATGTTATATAGCGCCGTCACAAGGACGTCGGCGGTGTTTTTACAATCGTGTCGTTATTATTTTCTTTTTATTTTATTAATTTCCATTCGACCCGACCACGTTTGACAGGCAGAGGCGACCGTACAAGACCCATTGATGGTTCATAACAATTTAACCGTCACCCGAACACCTTCGAAAAACACGTCTGCTCTACCCAATGGGTTAGGTTAGTGCGTCGTTATACACATCAATAGCAATAATAATAATAATATGTCAAAACGTGTTTTTGCAACGATTCCGCGGATTGAACTGGCGTGGAATCCTTTCGGCGGCAGCTGTGTTGACAATGACACTCGAAATATGCCGAAAATCCATTATTTAATCGGATTTGCCAACCTGCGACTCGTATGATGTATACGAGTGTGTGTGGCCGCACACCGATAATAATAAATAATAATCCTATTGGTCCGTTTAAATAGTAGTAAAGTGACAGGCGGCGGCGGCGGCGGCGGCGTCGTCCACGGTAATACCTATTTGAGCGTAACGCAAATTGTGTAGAGCTAGCGCTCGAAAGTTCCCCGACAAATTATCACTATACACGGTCGTATAACTATTGTACCGGTATTGCTATTGTTCTACAATAACTCGTCGCCTGTACGCTAGTTTTTTTCCCCTTCACACTTGGGATTACCCGTCGACGTCGTCAACGCTGTCGTCGACATAGTGCCTCCTCCTAATTGGATTCCGGGACACACTTAATCGTCGTTAATCGAACAACGGTATTACGAGTGCGGCGTTTAAATCCCAATTGTGTTGTGTGCTCTTTATCGTGTTCCGCATAATGGTAATGTCTCTTAAATACTGGTATTAGTAGTCTTACAGACTATTATTCGTGCCGCCAATAATGACGTTCGACGAAATTAAAAGCAACGGTCACGTTGTACATTATCGAGAGGTTTTCCTGGGAAAAATTCGACGCTTAACAATCAAATAACAACGAGTGGGTAAGAATTCGGTTGGACCCTTCGAAGCCATTTCGAGTGGCTCATCTGTGTTGGCAAAATCGGTTTGACGCACCTAACAGAATTCGCCGACCAATACAGGTGAACACACACACAAATGGAACGTTTTCCTCTTTACACAGTCTATATTATTATAGCGTCCGACGTGAGCGAACGGCGATGGAAGTGTACTTGACCGAATCGATTTCGAAATAAAAGAGATTAGCCGCCGACATTCGTTTTCTTTTGGGAAAACGGTCGACTATCGTACTGACCGACGCGATGGCGCCTGAAAAGAGCCTCGTCGTTAGTCTCTACATATTATTATTATTATTATTATTCGTGTTATGTGTCCACTGCATTCGCATCGAGTAGGCGCTTGTAGGACGAGATCGCAAGATTTTTCCACGGGCGAGCGTGTTACCACAAAATGCGTTGGCGAAACTGGTCCCGAAAAGTGTACGCGTGTAAACAAATAACAACCTAATAAGGGGAACACATAGTTCTAAGGAAAACTGCTCGAGACCGAAGGGCGACGACTTTCTCACAAATATCGATTTGGTTATGTTTTAACCGAGTAAAAGAGTTACGCTCGTCGTAATACCCAAGCACACCCTCTCCGACTTGGCATACAACACACACACACACACACACACACGGGTATACACCACCACTATTGTTTACCGTTCCACTGACAAGTCACTGCCGAGCAGCCAGTTCGTGTACACAGAAGCGAATCAATCAAAACGCATCGATTTATCGCCGAGGGAAGGGCTGCTCCCGAACTATACGATTCCATAGGTATAATATAAACCGTACACGGTTGTCGCTGCTACCATGAACCCCCCGTCAACCCCCCCCCCCCACAAACCAGAGGGATTTTGGCTTTGGAGGGCACACACAAATATTACACAACGTAAACGAAAAGCAATAAATAAACTATCCGTGTGTATTAGGTCTGCGTCGAACGTGTGGCCCGGCCGACACCACCGGGCCCGACGACGATGCTGCCGCAGCTGATCAGTATCTCGTCCAGACCGCTAATGACGACGCCATAAGTCGCGCGCACGTTTGAGATAAGTATTATATGATTGTTATTATTATTGTTGTTGTTGTATACGTGCCACACATTCAGACGGAATAGTTAGAGGTGTACGCATATAAAAATCCTGGGACGGATCTTTATTAGCGCCATCGACACGAGACCACCTATAATGTACATTTAGACACCGCACAGCCGCAGCCGCCGCCGCCTTCGAATATGTACAACAACAACAACAACAACGGCGCAAGGGGCCGCCGCGTGTCACCTTTGGGATACGGCAATTAATAACCCCCCCCCCCCCCCCTCGGTTCGATTAAATACGCGCCTAACAACCACGGCCGAGGGTTTGAAACGAGTAAAAACAAAAAGAAACCTCGACGTCCAATTCGAATTCCTTAATCTACACCTACAACTGAACGCTCGATTAAAGCGTAGTCGTGAGTTAGACGTTTTTCCGTTGCCCGTAATGTTTTACCGGATCCAAAGAGCTTTGAAAAAAAAAACAACCTACTAAACACAGAGATCCCCCGAGTAATTCATGCGATAATCAATCGCGCACGTACCACATGAGCACCACCGCTGTTGTTTCAACACGGATGTTTCAACGTGAATGATCTTGGCTTCGAGGAATCCGCGTAATGCAACATTTATGAAAACCGAGTAGGATTTTTTGTGTCTGTAAATGAACTTTCTACGATGAAATCGGAGTCGCCCGAAGAGCCGACAGCGGCAAAGAGGCGAGGGGATGAATCGCACATTGGCAGTTTTTTCAGGGTCTTGACCGCGAGAATCGTGTTCTACCTCGCCGCCCGCGTGACTGTGAACGACCGGAAATAATGTGCCCGCAGACGCCGGCGGCACTCTGGCATCGTGTCAACGCATACCGCGACGTCTAGCTAACGGCGACGGTGGCCTAGCAGCCTTCGCTCGCGCTTGCTCAACGTCTATAGCCCACGCGACCGCCAACTTTAGCCCACATCGTACGTCGACCATATGAGCATTCAGATTTCCTTTCCACGCCGCGACGTGGTGTCCCCCTTCTTATCGTTCACGAGCCGCACACGTTTATTAATTAAACCGACGGTGGCGTAAAGATTTATATTTATAATAACATTATTAATATACACAGCGCCGTAACTATTATAAAATCGTTTAAATACACATGATAACTACGTTTCCATGCGGTTATACAGCATGTATGCTGGCGTATTGTTTGTGTACTCACGTGTGGTTGATGAAAGACATACAGAGACTAGCAGGAGGAAGTTTAACATGGTGAACGTGGCGGCGCGGTGCAGGCTTTGTGACGACCCGCCGCCGCCGCCTTGCCGCCTCACTAGTACCGTTCCCTCGGATTCGATACGTCTCCGACCTGTGCAAAACACAAAAATATTACATTAGAACAAGAAAAAGCGAGTCTAGTTGTAAAAAAAAAAAAAAAATTTTTTTAAAAAAACAAGTGTAAAACTAACGATTCTGTTCTCTGCATAGAGTCGTTATTTAATGTTGTTGTAATACCGACGATGGTTAACCAGAGAAAAAATAGTGTGGTGGGTACGATCTATGGAAAAGCGGCATGAAAAGATTGACCGCCGCCGGTGGCAATGGATTTTTAAAAGGTACGTCGAATTAACCGAGTGGAGATAATTGAGGTGGTGCGCGCGGTGGCATCACAGCCGCCGCCGCTGCTTTGGATTACACCACACTTCCTTTTTGTGTGCTCATTGTTAGTGAAAGTATATTAAAAGCATTGGGTTTTTATCGGACGCGTCACGCTGCATAAACGATTATCACAGTTTTTTTAAGTATAATAATCGTAGTAATATATATTAAATTATAATAACGCCGCAATATGCAACGTGTGAAAAAAATTTACCGAAAAATAGTTACAATAATTACAAAAATAATAGTAACGACGACGCGGCGCGCGATAACTCTCTCCTAAATCGTGTTTCGGCTACTTTTATCACTATTAAATGATGATAATCGTCTACAATAAATTTTTAGGTCGGCGTCTACGCGCGTTATCTGAGTGTGCGCGTGTACATATATATATATATGGGTTAATACGAAATGGAATTCACCGTGAAATTTGCGTTCCGGTTTCGTGTACATGTTCCGATTCAAGACGTACAAACGCGTCGACGGCCGTCCGTAACAGTAACAACACTATGCGTGTGCCGCCGCCGCCGCCGCCGACCCGGTAATGGTGTTATATGTGTACGTACACCGCGCAGATTGTTACACGGGACTGCAGCAGACGAACAGGCAGCACGTGATTACAATCGGGTCACAACGAGAGCCGACCGCATGCAGCACACAACAATGTTGTACACCTATGTTTGGGTACGGCGGATTCGTTATTTATAAATTATTATTATCGCGGCGATTACAAGGCGCGGTACCTACGACCCGATGACCATATTAAACGGTGTAAAATTTGTCTATTAGATGTGTCTAGACGATGTGTCTAAAGCTCTAGTGGAACGCGAGGAGAACATGACGTAGATCGCAACCTGAGCGGGACGGCGGGGGGAGAGTACAAGACGAGGAGCGCGTGCAAACGTGGAAAAAACACACAAGTCGACTTCCTTTTGTTTCGAATATTTTTTTTTTTACCCCACATCGCGACTGTTGGGCGTTCTCGTTTTGTACGGATTCGTTGTACAGAAAATAACGTGGCTTTAACACACACACACGCGCGCGCGCGCATAGCTCGCGAGCACACACACCAACACACACATACGCACATAGATAGATATATATATATATACGATATCGTCGAAGATGAAAAATGGTGACGGACGACAGCTGTCTTGCGTGGGAAATTAAATACCCGAGGAAAGGTACGTTAATTGACCCTGGCCAAAGGTGCAACGACCACCCCACCACCGCCTTCGCCATCGGGCAAACATTGTACGCGTCGGAGGCGGCACTACTACCACGTATACACATCATTACGGGCTACTATGATTTTTTGGCGGGTTTCCGACGGACCTGTGCTCGTCATCACCGCTTTCAGCCATATTGTTCAACGAAAGACAATCGTGACGTCACGGTCCGGTTGACAATTTCAATATAATAGTGCGAGTTCATCTTTGCCGTTGCCCGGTGTTTTGTTGCAGTTAGGTACATTTTTTTTTGTAATACACAGAAAGACATATATATATATATATATATATAAACACATATTTTTTATATTTATTTTTGATCCACCATCCGTGACGCTACCGCCGCCGATGGACCTGCCGGCGCGCAGCTCCTCTATCTCTCTCGCACTTTTTCCCCAGTTCCCGGCCGCTGGTTGGCGTTCGTCGTTTGATTTTCGAGAAAAAGCACCACCACCACCGTCCGCTTTTCCGTTGAATACGCAATCACAAATCTCCGCATACCGAAGTCATCGTGATCGCTGTGTATTAATTTTTTTTTTTTTTTTTTTTTACTATACACAACCCGCGTTACTAATGACAATGACAAAAAAAAACAGTTGTTTTGTACATGTTCTTTGAAAAGAAATCTCCAGAGGTCAATAATTTCCCGATCGCCGTACGCGCTCGGTGTAATTCCTTCTCGATGTTTGTTTAACGAACGTTTAAAATATATAAAAAAAAACATTATTTAATTTTGGATAAACGCATACTACGTCGTTAAGCGCTAGCACGCATTACATACAAGTACACGCACACGATGGAAACATGTCATAAATGAGAACTACTAACTCTCGGGTCGGTTGCAGCATTGATTGGGTTGCAGCGTTGGAGGTCCGTTGACCTTGAACCCGTTCCGCCGACAAGTCTTCCTTTAAAACGCGCGCTTACACACAATTTCCCATCTAAAATCTCCGTAACCGACGAAAAAAAAAACCGTCGATCGTCGTCATTTTCTAGCAACTCTCAATTTAACTCCATGTTAAATAATAGGCATTATTTGTCAAAAAAAAATCCCTATCATCTGTCGTTCCGTGTCTCATATACGCCGAGTATAGCCACTAACCTCATCAAACCATCCCACAAAGAGCGCAGTTATTATGTAACAAGAATAAAATAATAATTAAATCGACTTAATGGATATCATCCGCGCGGCGAGTCACAGACGACATGACACGACTGTCTCGAGGATTGCGCAATAGAATTTAGTGTTTGTAAATTGTCATTATTATTATTTTGTCTACGTCCAAAGAAACGCGTGCGAAATACCTTGGGATATTTATTGTATTCATCAACAGCACAATGACAAAGAAATTTTAAAAAGGCAACGACAAAAAAATTCCCGACACACAACTCATATGTGGTATTCGGACTCGCCCGGCGTACGTGCCTGGCCAGCGCCAGAACTTTTTTGTCGGATGCGGTAAAAATCGATGTGGAGGACCTACACCGGCGACGGAACGGACACAATTCAACACCGAAAGTAGTGCCAGTGCACCAAAATCGTGCGCCGCGAATTGCGGCGTTTCGTTGAACTCGATTAATTTTTTATGCCGCAACGCGGTTATGTCGTACACGCACCGTGTACGACTCTCGATTTTCACATAAGCGTAAAAAAATAATAGCCCGACTCGTATGCTGGTCTTTAGGACCGACGCGTGTAAAGGTACAAGTACAAGCTCGATAAAAAAAACCATAACGCCTTATTGAACGGCCGTTTATTAATCTCATCAAATTAATTTCTCATATGTTAACCGAGCAATATTCATTTCACTCGACGCGCTTTTTTTTTTTTCTCCTATTCATACAACGCGCGCACACATAATACTTAATTTCTGAACACCGTAATAAAAGGAATCCGCATACACTAGTGCGCCGGCTATTGTGCAGAAAAACATCTTTTAACACTGTTAAAAATGCTGTCGCCGTCCGAACACTGACATTGTGTGAAATGGCATATTTACAGCTCTTTTCTTTGCCCGCCGCCATACGTGCAAACCAATGGCGTACAAAAATAAGTAAACTTTCTAAACAAATTACACACACGACGGACCCGGTACAATAACGCGGCGACGGAGACGTTGATGACATTTTGTAGACACAAAAAAAAAAAAATTACTCAGCCTCGTCAGAATCATAACATGCGCGCGTTTCACGTACAACAACCCCCCTCCCTCCTCGCGAAGAAAGGAAATTTTTACGGTTCCGTGGAGTTAACGGGCGTGTGTACCTACCACCCATACGAGTACCAACTAATGTACACACATTTTTTTGGACGTTTCGACGAGCGCCGGCCGAGTTTGTGTGTAATTAAGTCAGATATCAATAAATCTAATTACGACCGGGAAAATATATCGTACTTTCTCCGTTCACGTACGATACATACGAGTATCCCATACGTATAATAATAAAGGTATATTTATATATATATATACAAACGTCTAGCAATGCGGAAACCGCTGCCGTTGCCGACCGATCACAACTCCGTGTGTGCCAATGCTAACAAGAATCATTTCAAAATATAATTTCATTATTATTGTATTTTTCAAGACCTATTGTTTTAAACCCCAAAAGGCGGTGTCATGCCAGGCAGCAACAACCCTCTTCTCCAAATTTCCGGTCAAATTAGCCCCGTTTTATACGTTATACTCAGAGGCTGTTTTATGTGTGTAACCTACGCAAATTCGGCAGTACCGTTTACATTATTGTTTTTTTTTTTACCGACATCATTGTTTTGAATCCTTGAAGAAACACACACACACACACATAGACCCATAAACCGCGTACTAACATTATATTATGCAAGTTTACAATGCCAACGTAAATAATCTCACGCACACTATTAACCAAAAAAAAAAAACCTGAGGGCGCAGCCAAAGGGTTCTGTACCATTCAAGGCGATCGTTTCTTCAATAGGTTATTACACTGCCAGCGAATAGAGTACAAATAATATTTATTTAATTACGGATTGCAAAATACGGTAATTATCTGGCTGATGAATACCGCGCGTAAAACGACCGATAATTGGCATATTAACAGTTGGCAAATTGAATTATTCTTTATCATGTATAGATAGTGTACACTTTCAAACGCCGGTCTTGCCTAGAGTTCTTCTCTCACCGCTACGCCATCGCCGCACTCTCTTCCCAATCACTTCCTACGTTCTCTATGCACATTATTCACTCGACCTGTTCCTAATTAGATTTAGGTTCACAAACCACGCACTGCTGCTGCTTATCGCCGATACACGCACGTTTTCATATAGCGCGTTTTTTCATTAGATCTACTACAGACACCGACATTCAATATAAATTGTTGGCACTAAAAAACACAAAAAAAGTGCAAGTATTTACCTGAATGCCTGGCAAGGAATAAATAAAAACCAGAGTACACGGTAGACCAACAGGAGCCTTGTGGCATGTTGCAGTCCGTTTGGTTTTCGCATTGGTCGACCATCTTCGACTCCGCCACTGCGGTCGTCGTGGAGGCAGTACTAGTGTTCATGGAAATCGGAAATATTGCAGTCCGGTCGAATTTTTATTTGACTCTCTCCCGGTCGTGTCCTGCACTTTGCCCGGGGGGGGACGGGTAGGGGGCGAGTTCAAGAATTCAGTCCCGTCGCGATCGCAGTGACAACAACAAGACGGACACAATGCGCCAACAACACCGTCTCACACATGATAATGATTAATTAATTACCGACGCACACGACGCACGTTACTATTATTATTATTATCGTGTGGACGGCGGCTACATCACTTTTTTCGACACCAGATCGTCTTGGCTGCGATATCTCTTCGACAATGTTTATATCGGAGTAAAAGTTTAATAAAATAAATAAAGTAACGAAACGACTCGGCTAAAAACGTACGCCGTCGAATAAAAACAAACAATTTAACGGAACTGCTGTTAATAAAAGAAACAACCTAATGTAAGTTTTAAAAAAAGAAAATTGTGTTTTTCTTCGTAACGTAAAAAAAAAAACAGAACATTTGTCTTCAACACGTACACAATAACACATACATTATCTCTATTATGCGCGACAGTGGTTTCAAAAATAAACTTCGGTGCCGCGACACCCTGGAACTTAACGGGCGTTACGGGTTTTTTTCCTACGGTCCGGTTGCTATCGAGTAGGTTAGTACTATCAATAAGTACCCGGAATAGGTTCAACACTGTTGGCACGTCGGCGTTGGAGGAGGATAAGAGTGTGTGATAATAAACTTTTAATAAAACACACACGAATACACCGTGACACCTGAACCAGATAACAACGACAAAACAACTACTTATATATCAAATGTGTGTGTACGTAAAATAATTTATTATTATTATTACTGTTATGTGTTACAGTAAAAATGTAATCGCGAACGACACCGATGACAGCGGCCACGAGCGGTACGCGTGCAGCCGACCGAACAACGAACCTTCGACTGCCGTGCGTGCGCGTATGTGCGTGTGAAGCGGCCGAGTATGGGTGGGACGCGTCAACCGGCTCACGACCACCGCCGAACATACCCGAACCGGATACGCGCCGCCGACGAACGCACCGAGGCCCATTCTTCAAAGATGGTTTTCTCTATTTCTTTTTCCCCCGAGTACTCCNCCCATTCTTCAAAGATGGTTTTCTCTATTTCTTTTTCCCCCGAGTTCTTGGCTTACCGGTTGCCGACCGTCCGGTTACTACGCTTTTTCAGTACGCGATCAACCCTTCGGATAATGCACGCGAATCACCGGTAATTCGTGTTTACGCCAAATATCGTCTTGTGCGATACAAATATAATAATTTCACAATATCTATTGTTGTGCGTAGGAATGGACAGCAACACTGTTTGCTCAAACGTAACAAACGGTATGTTTGTAACTAATTTGTGAATACGTTCACCATTAACGTTATGGAAATTAAGTCGTCGGACGTATTACTGTTATTACCTCACGCCTAGTTATAAGACTCTTAAACATTGCTTGTGCGTGTTCTAAATTCTCACAGGAATGTGTCCGTTTTCTACATTAGGCGCGAACAGTCATAATATATATATATACACAAGTCGCTGACTACGACCAAGTCGAACTTCCGTTAAAAAAAAACCATTTGACCACAACAACGTCACTTGGATATCAGATTTGACTTACGCAGGTTGTGCCAAAGATAGAAAATGAAATCGATGAGTCATTTAAAAGTATCTAAAAAACGATTAGGCGCGACACACGTTTTTCGCCGTATTTAACGCGTCACCGAGACGTCCAAATAAGTAAATGATTTTTCTAATAAAAAATGTCTTACCTCCACTGTCCTCGTGTATCCGACATATGGCCGAGCGCATTTCGTGCGGACCGAGATAATTTTAATTTTCGTTGACGGAAATCGTCGAACGGACGACGATAACGACTGCGGTACACAGCGGCGACAAACATTCGTACCTAACATTTAACGAAAACTGGACCGATTTCTATATTTTTTAAAAAATTTTTTTAAGCGTTTTTCCAACAACGTTCTGCGCATTTTAATACATCATACGCTACATATATCCCACCACCACCGGTTTGCGTGATACACAATAATGTGCGTGGACAAAAAAATTACACATAATAAACCCCGAGTACAAATATGCGACCCGAGAACCTCTCGATTGCAGACCATTAGTCCGGCGGATCCGGTAAAAAAACTTCATTCACAGCTTGACCGCATTCATCCCTAATGATGGGACTATTTGCAAACATTCAATACCGTCGCGGTCATCCCTACAATAGTAGTGGTGCTCTGGTGCCGTATACATACATAATACGCATGTACGTTCTAATGATTTCGGGACACAAGCAAAAAATGAAAACATTTTCTATAAAATATAATGCAATTGAAAGCAAATTACACACGATTAGGTCGTTCCCCTGTGTAATCGGCGACGGCTACCGTCTGTGCTGTCGCCGCCACGCTGCGGACGAGTAGCCGAGTCATTTGAATGTCGTCCAAATGCTGTACAGACACAATTACGCGTGTGCGCATACTTGGAACACTGACTAAGTTGTCACCGCGAACCCGGTGAAGAGGCGTGAAAAAAAAATTCAGCACCTCGGCCGAAAAAGTGTCAATGGGCCGGTTCCAGTTATTGCAGACCACCGGATTTAGCCCGCGGGGGTGAACGAAACGGGCGAATGCCTTAAAAAAACCCATCAACACACCCTCGTAGCCAAAAAATACATATGCCATTTCACGCTATCGACGCGCGGGCAATAATAAAAATGATTTCGTTTTTTTTTTTTTTTACGGTACGCGCATTGTGTATTCTGTCTGCCGGACTGCAAATAGCGGAGGTGTTTTTTTTTTTTGTTTCTTCGGGAATTTATTACTATCATTATTGTGTTGTACTTGGACAAAACCGTTTTGTATATTATGTTCCGTGTGCAAGCCCCATGTCAAACATCCCGTTTTCGTATCCACAATCCGGGACACAGCATCTGCTTTTTTTATCCTGCTCGTTACACGTCTCGTCTGGACACGCATCGTCTACAATTGGACTATTGCATCTATCACGGCGGCGGCGGCGGCGGCAATATTATTATTATGATTAAACGTCGTCAGCGGTGTTCGTTCTGGTGAGTAGTTACGCTGTCCATCGATTGTGCGTGTGCCGCGTGCCCGCCTCCTCCGTACAGATAAATATTGTTGCTGTTATTGTATCGAATGTGAACGCCGGACGGTATAATGAGGTCCGTATAATAAGACACCACCACCACCGGCATGTGTGATTATTGAAACACGACGAAATTTCATGTATGAGCGAACCCGCGGTTAATCCGAAGCCAATTAATATGGTACCATCTCCGGGACTGGAGCATCTCACGGTCTTGTTTCAAACACACTTGACAGAACAACGAAAACAAAAATCAATTTTACCCACAACGACTACCGGCCATGTGTATACCGATAAAACGAGAATGATTTCGATTGACATAATAAACTATGGTGTGCCGCCATTGATTGACAAGAATATTGTTAGACAGCGCCTTTGGCATACGCACTAGAAATCCGAACCACTGGGGCCCCCCACGCGTATTTTTGTGTTTAATTAAGAACACCGAGACGACGGTGAATCGCGTGGCGGCCGTGAATTATAATCGTATCATGACGTGTCGTGTGTTCACGTCTTTCAGACAATTTATTAAATTTTAATCAATTAAACGTCGTTTGTACGTTAACGACAGGCGTGACAAACGGAACACTGCGCTTTTCGCATCATTTCGTAAACAAAATAATAAAACCTGCGACCGATCGTTAAACACGAACACACGATAACACGTTTAAGGTACCCGCACCGAGTCACCAATGAGTGGCGGCGTGTTATCAGTGCGCTACTCTATTGTAGGCAAGTCACTACGGCGAGTGTCGTCTTTGAAGGATAAAAGGTCTCTACGGTGTTGAACGATACGGGTACAGAAAGAAACGACTACGTTTAAGTGTGTAAAGATATGGTTTTACAAGCTCCCACGTTGATTTTACACGCCGTCGGTATTGCGACACATTAACAATTACAATACTTGTGCACACGTCATATAATATTTATATACTTAACGGTGACCTAAAGTTAAAGTGATAATTTCCGCCGTACCCAAAGAGCTGTTATTATGTGCCTTCTTCAACACTTGTACAGTGAAATTAAACTTATCGATTTATTTAAAAGTGTTGTCATCGAGTTATCACTTATTTAACACTACGAGTACAAGTATATCCACGTGTGTGTAAAATATCGCATAACACTGTTACATCGCCGACTGTAATTAAAGGGCGCGCACAATGTCGATTTAAACGTCTGTATAACTCATAACGCAAACCGTTAGTGTTTATTTTAAACGAGACCATAGGTTCAATCATATTACAACAAATTAACACTTCAAATAAATAATATCCATCTATGTATATAGTTCAATGAATTGCAAAAACGTTGGCCGTCTTTAACACGTGCTATCGCCAGTAATTCATTACTTCGAAATAAATTATTATTATCGAACGGAACGATTCGAGACAATGAGAAATTTTATAAAATATTAACATAAGAAAAAAACGTTTACATATATTATAATAGTTATCATATATATATATGAAAACATTTTATGTCTTTGGTCTTTACAAATAACTAAACAGATAAAATACCATCGGCCTCAATTTCAAGAAAAAGGAAAATAATATTTAAAAAACTCTCCAACACGTATTTCTCGCTTAATATTACTACGCCTTTGAAATGTTTCGACATAAACGAAGTACATATTTTATAACGATTGGGGCGAGACGTGTCACAATAACTTTAACAGATAGTTACCCTTGGGGATAAGATTCAGCCTATTAGCAAACGGACTAATTATATAAATGGCCATTTTACACAAAACATAACTCGTTCAGTTAAAATAAACTTTTTGCGAAAAATAACACTACATTAGACATAACTTAATCATGAAATGTAATATTCGTACAAGTATAATTGCAGACAATTTTTATCTTGTCACTTAAATTCTCAGACTATCGAAAACCATTACAGAGCTGAACACGAGATAACAGTGTAATATAATTGTAACGATTAAAATAGGACAGAAAGTCAAAAACATTTTCCCGGTGAAGGACACCGTCTAGCAAAAGGCAGACGTACACAGATATACTTAGCCGTGGCGACGGGTCGCGCCTAGTAGACTGGCCGATATGCATTGAAACCGTTCCAAAATTTGTCGTCTGGCTGTACAGCTTTTAGGCAATTGTTTATGGCGGACAACGGCCTCGTGTCGTCGTCGTCGGCGGTATATTTTTACGAACGAGTGGTGACACAACTAACCTAACCCAACGGAAACCGTCGGTTTGCGCCGCTGGTTCGGTTAAGCGTTGGCGCCAACCGAACGACGACGTCGAGCGTACAGACTTAATAATACAATACATGTATACAACGACGCGTAGACGATATACCAAGTTTGGATGCCCCCGCTCGTGTCCCGCGTCGTGGACGTTGCGAACAACGACACTGCGAAGAATAAAGCTCTGGAAATGTATTTCTACGTACATAAATATACATGCGGAATTTTATTGCCGTCCAAATGCCGCCGCCGAAGTCGTTTGGCGACGAGACGGGACAAGATTTTCTTTTCTCAAACTACACATATTATGCAATCATATATAATGCCGGGCAAACGGTTTCCTATACGCACCGACCGGACGTGCACTATACATTTATAATATACGATTATTGGCCATCGGCCGTCATAAATTAATCATTTCTAAATACGCCGAAAATCAGAGTGCAACTTTTATTACTCCAAATGATGACAAAATGTCTCATAATAATAAAAGCCTATAATCGAAAGCAGTTACGCGGCCATTCACAATGATGTATTGTTAACAGGAGGAGGGAATCTTGGAAAATAACCAACAAATTCAATCGGACTAGTGTATTTACGCGTTACCAACGATTGCAAATC